CAAGCTGCTTAGTTCTGCCTTTCAGCTTCCTGAATGACAATGCTGCTGCATAGTGGCTATCTGCTGACTAATGAATGACCGGTCACTGGCCTCAGCTGGGCAGTTCTCTAAATACCTGTCCGCCAGACCGTGGCTGGTATAAAACTCTGTGGTGGACAAAAAATTAGGCAGAATTGTTTTATTTGAAGCAAATGCCACAATCTTCTTACAAATGTATCATTGTCATAGCATTTTTCCGAGGTGTAACTGCAAGTATTAATACTGAAAATATCCAGTTCCTACCTGCTGGTTAGATACACGTGTGTGTGAACAGTACAGGTTGACCTTAATGTATGGGAATATTTAAATGTTGAAACAAGTGTGCAGTGTTACCCCTGAGGGGCAACGTTAAAAAGTGACACTATAGCAAAAGAGAGGATTCCCAGCGGTCAATTAACTTCGCCGTTTGGGGACATTATGCAGCTACGGTGGAGAGAGAAAGGTGGACCGAACCAAGCATTAGCATCAGCTATATGCATTTCTTAGAACCTGCAAATATATATATGGCTTGTTCCGGACTGCAATTATTCACCTGAAAGGACCTCAAGCTGGATGTAAACATCACTGGTGATCGAGATAAAAAGTCTGAATGCATCCGATTAGCCTTAACTCTGATTTTTCCAACAGCTGCTCATGTTGCTTTCAGGAACAGAAACAACAATATCATGTTAAAATATCCAAACAACTCAAAATTGGTTTGAATGGGTTTATATTCTCGTATATAATAATTTAAACAATCTAAACCTTAACCCTGACTGTTTTTAGGTTGTAGTCATTTTGTATAATCTATCTATTCTTACTTTCCTGCTTCATTCAACCAAACCAAATTTTCAGCCAGTTCTTTACTTCCAACTATTTAATCATTTTAGAGCAAAATTTTTAAACAAAATAAAGTACTACAGAAAAAAAACTCTTCACTGTGTATATATTTACATAGTGCAGAGTAGCACAACCTTCCAGCTCTGCAGCAGAAGCCCTGATTCTCAGTGGATCTCTGTGGTCCAGATCCTTGGCAGTAACAGCTGGAATGAGTTTGGCCTTTTCTAGGTTACAGGGAATCTTTGGCATCAGTTTCACATCCTGGTATATAGTACGGTTCTTGTCGAAGGGGGATTCTTCTCGTTTCTACTGTGATTTTCTTTTTATTTTCTTTCATTTATTTTTTTTTTATAAAAACATTCCACCAAAAATGGTCCAGTTTTCTAGGATTGTAAAACTACCAGCCTTATCATGATGCAGTATTATATCATTTTGTTTGGATAACGATGCAGTTTTTGCTAATATTACAAAGTCTGACTTGATACGATTTCCATTTTAATCAAGTAATGTTTCTGCAATCACTATGCTGCCTAGTGATGCTTTTAAAACAAGATAGATCGTCTGTTCACTATAGTTTCATGCCTCGTAAACTTCAAAATAAAAGCACATCTTAAAGCTGATGATGTGGATTAACTTTTTTCTGCATCATATTTCCTGGATCCATGCTCATTAGTCTTGATCAATAATCATTCATCGTAGATCAGTGTGGATGGATGAATTATGTCCCTACTGACTGGTCTAACATTTACAAGCGTCATAGTTCTGCATTTGCAGTAATTTGGCCACAAATTGGCATTAAGATAACTTAGTTTGGACATTTGACACTGTGTAGTCACATGCAAGGGTGTGCCAGTTCTGGACTTAATGAATCAATGCTTGGCAGAATAGGGGGCAAACTGTGTACTGGAACAGTTTAACTTTGTAAATAACATAACTTGGTAAAACCATGTCCCCTGTAATATAAAGTAGTTTGACCAGGGATCTAGATGATGTTTCCTTCGATCAAACTGTTTTTGTTCCTTGCAGCTCCATTTGTCCCAGAGATTGATTGTTATTAGATAGCACAGGTACAGGTACACTGTACAGCGTAGTTAAATGAATAAACCAGACATCTGAAGGTAGGTTTAGACATTTAAAGGAGTTAAAATATGAAGTGAATGTCTTCTGACTACAAAGATAAATGGATGAAACTACAGGGAAAATCTAAAAGGTTAGTGTTTGATCTCTGATCAGGCATTTCCTATCTAAAATTATCCTGATTTCTGTTTTTAAGAAAATCAGTATCATCTCAGATCTCAGTCAGCAGCTTTTATTTTTTCCTCTCTCTGTACTGATGTGTAGCTGTCTGTGCTCATGGTAAGCCTATAAAAGCTTCAAGAGATTAAAACTGCTTTGTTTATGCTACAGCCCACCATGGTCCAGTATGAATGTGAGGTTCATGATGGTGCGTTTGTTGACCCTCCATTTTAAACGGACCTCCTTAATGGCTTCTATAATGACGGGTTTAGCCAGGCTGGTAGGTTTTGGTTTTCACCGTCATCTAGTGTTGATTATATGGGCTTTTTATTTTTCATTCTCAACATGGTATTAAGTTTCAAGGGAAAAAAAAGAAATAATAACATACTGTGAAACATAGAGGGATTGTGAACATTTATGGGTAAAGGTTTATCGTCTTCGAGGTGTTTTACTGGAGGTTTGGTTTGCAGGCTTTTATTAGGGCGATTTATAAAATAAATCTAAATGACCAATTGGAAGACGACATTATTGGACATTAATTGGTTTCACCAACAAAAAGGTCTTGCATGGTTTTAGTGTTTGCAAATAATAATCTGACACTTGTTGAATCCGTCTGTATTCAGCTTTTTATTTCCAGAACCGGCTTTGGCTAGAAATATTATGGGATATGTCCTTATTATCCCATTTTTTCTTTACAAAACGACTAATTCAGTCTGATTGGATACAGGACCTTCGTTCACAGCAGGTCTTAGTGGAGATTCTTAGTATGATTCAGGTCTGGACTTTGAGCCATTTTTCTGCATCACATCCCAGCTCCTTGTGTATTCATGTGCTTCTCTAGAAGGTGAATTTTCTGCATCACTTTTAAGTATTTTCAGCTCCTAAAACTCTAATTAGTGACTTTATAATTTTGTACTAGTTTGTGTCGGCCTTTCGCATAAAATCTCCAAAATGGTTTTGATGTGAAAGAGATTTGCTCCTGGGAGATTTTATCGTTGGAGCTACATAGAAATGATAGTTTGACATTTTAGAAAGGTCACATTAAGGGAAAGTCGTCACTATTGTGTTTTATTACTAAAGATGGCCAGAGCTATTCAGGGCCAATAGAGAAATTTGTTCTCTCCCTCAGGACAAAAACAATATAATGATGTTGTTCGGTAGTGGCAGCCCTGGTTGGATCATTTAGTTTAGTTCTTTTTGTTTGACAAAAATGTTTTTGAGAAGAAATCAGCATCAATGTGCTCAACTTGAAATATTGTAAAGTATGAACTACCACTGTATCAGAAAAAAAGGTTCTTACCACCTTGTAAAAGTATTGGTTTTCTCTGTTTTTGCAGATGTACAGACCTGTAAGTGTGTAAAGGGCAGAAAAGAGCAATGTCAGAAATTATAATTCCCTTTTAGTCAGAAGAAGCTAAGATACAAAAAAAAAAACCTGATTAAAACACTTAGCTGAGTTTTGAGTTACCTTTTATATCTTTCTTGTTTTTAGTTTACAGGTCTTCTCAGACCCCCTGCATGAGTTACTAATAAAATGGGCCACTTTAGTGTTAGATAATGTTTGTTTTTTTTCTAGACAAAATCTCAGTTTTTAGGTCTCTCATTTGGGAGTAAAAGAATTAGTCGGATTAATTTGATTATTGATCTAATCGTCAACAAACTTAGTAGTAAATTAACTAATTTAGAAGCAATGTTAACTTAATTATAGCGACTTTAGCTGAAAGAGCAACCCAGTTAAAGCAGCTACTCCACCAAAATTGCAAAGATTATGTTAAGATTTTGCATTTAAGATGGAAGAAAACCCTTTTTGTCCATATATATGCTCTCTGCAGAAGTCCAGAATTTAAACTAAGCTTCACTTGGTTTAAATTATGTAAAAAAGCGCCTGTAAGGAACCGTTTGCAATCGAAGTATTAAGCAATTAATTGACAAAAGATTTGAGAGATTAATCGATTAGCAAGTCACAGTCAGTTAAATATTGTTTGGAGTGAATCCTGTACAGTGATGTTTAATGTGCTGCTTTATGATCTTTCTTTATATTTTCTTCTGCCTACTAAATACTAAAAGTATAGTCATGCTTCTTAGAAAAGGAATCATAAGCCATCAATCGTTATAAGGTTTAACTTAAGTTCATATTGAGTAACGGGGCTCTCCCAGTCTGTTCGGTGGCTCTGTTACAACTAATCAGAGGCTCTTCAGTTTCCTCATTTAGAATTAAGCCCATTGTGGGACTTTTCATCACAGAGGGAGGGAGACTATTTCTGCTTAATGAAACTGTGACTGTAAAACGAAAGAAAGTTCATTCAAAGTAGTGGAGCAGAGAGCCTTATGACTGCAAAGGGCAGCCCTCATGTGACGAGGAAACTCACAGCTGCTCTGCTGGCTCCTCGCTTAGGTTCAGCTGGTGGAGTTAGCCTACGCTGCACCCCATCGACACTGCTACTCCTCTTTCATTGTCATAAACCACATCAGAGAGGAAGACGGTCACATCGACGAGAGCGAGTAGTGACATGTGTGGGGGGGACGTTTTCCTCTCAGAGGCACAACAGTCCCTAAAGCTGTGATTCATGCAGCCTCATGTGGTTGTTTCCTGACTAATCTTTAAGGTTCGTCTTCTGAAGCGGAATGGAAAGTTCAACAAAAATCCCTGACTTCTGATCTTCTATTTAAAAAAAGAAAAAAAAAAGAAAAAGAAAAATTGAAACGCGACGTGTGAAAGTATCATTTCATACTCCCCCTGCAGACTTTTACTGTAAGGAAAAGGTGTAACCCGCCTCAGTTTGATTATAACTGTGTGTGATTCTAGGATCTCTTCCTGGTGTCTGGTTGTAGAGCTTTTAGTTAGGAGGCAGAATGACTGTGTCAGGCTCATCTAACCACACTGCTCTTGTGTTTTCCCTCCCTAGGTGCATGATGAACCGGCTGTGCTGTAGGCGTCTAAGCTAGTCAGGTGCTGCACCATGGCCAAACCTGGGGGCGACCGAGATGGAGCCATGGTGGATAAGCAGGCGGGGAAGAAGGTATGTTAACGCAATCACTAAAATCCGCCTCTTTCCCTCAAGTTGAACCTTAAATTACATTCATTTCCTGATAAACTATTTAATAAAAGCTAAAAACAATTTTTACTGTTAGTTCATATTATATGGAACGGACCAATGAAAATGTACATAATTAAGTGGAATGATATGATACATGTTTTAATTTTCTTTTCTTTTTATAAATAAAAAGTGAGGTTTGCTTTCTATTCAGCTTTCAAAAGTCTTCAGCGGGTAAAATCCTTTGATTGCAATAAAAGCTGCTCGTCTTTTGTGGTTTGCATCAGGGTTGCACCAATACTAGATTTTCCCAACCTAATTAAGAGTAAAAGTAGCGATCCAAATAATAAATCTGACATATTGAAGAGTGCTGATTATATCCTCTCATATGCGAAGCAGAAAAAAGAAGGGACTTTTAACTTGGATATGTTACAGTAGAGATATGGTAGCAGGGGTTTGAAGTTCAGTCACTGACGGTGATATTGGTATTGAGGCATCACCCAGTTTCACATTAAAATACTCACTCACTCAAAGATTTCAGATTGGATTGAAAGCGTCTAAAGCTCAGTTTTCCGGACTTGCCACAGATTCCCTATAGAACTAAGACTTAAAACTAAAAAGTGGGTTTGCTGCCACGCAGAAATGTAGAGAGTTGCAGCTAACATTAGATCCATGCATGTAACTAGAAGTAAGCACTTTTTCACTAAAAGGTTACAGTAAAGTTCTTTAACAATGGACCGTGGACAAGCAGGTTTTCATGAAAAAAGGAGACCCTAAACTAAAACTTTTATAAATTTGCGGTTAGTGCAAAGGAAAATCAAAAGAAAAATAACTGCAATTTTACTTTTTTAGCAAAATTGTTCAGCCCTAACCGATGGTGTTTGAACCTTTACATCATAGCTCTGGTCGTGATACGGCTGCTAACTGCTGGGAGGTGAACCTACGTCCCCATCTCAAGCCTTTTTCAGCATCTAACAGGTTTTTTGTTGACTTTCTCTGGGGAGTGGCAGCCTCGTGGTTAGGGCTTTGCGCTTGGAATCCAGAGGTTCTGAGTTTAAGCCCCACCTCCACGGACTGCCACTCTGGGACCCTGAGCGAGACCCTTAACCCCACACTGCTCCCCGGGCGCCCCAACGATGGCAGCCCACTGCTCCCCAAGGGGATGGGTTAAGCGCAGAGAGTTAATTTCGTTACTCTGTACTTGTGACAGTGTTATGAAAATAAAAATAACATAAAAGAGCTATAAAAGAAAAGCCTCCCTCTCGCACCATGCTGCCACCATCCATGGAAATGTTTGATGCTAATTTTCCACTGCTCAAAGCATTTTGCTTCTGGTTCCTTTATGCAGTGATTTTTCTGTGTTACCTGTATAACTTTGGGCAAGCCAAACAGGTCTACCTAAATTCTATTCAATGTATTTCTATAGGGCCAATTCACAACACATGACAATTCAACCAGATCATACAGTCAAATTGATTCAAAGTTTTTTATCTAAGGAAAACCAGTTGATTGCATCGACTGATTGACTCTGATGCAATCCCTCACACTAAGCATGCTTGTAGCGACAGTGGAGAGGAAAAACTCCCTTTTAAACTTATAAAGTAGTAGATGTTTTCTCAACAGAGCTAATCCCCTGAGTTGTGGACCTCTGTTGCCCATGTAACAGGGGTCTCTAGGCTGCTTTTGATTAGTCTGTCAGTTTTTAGGTGTACATCCAGGCTTTCAGTCGTACCACACCCCTTTTACTTTTTGAATGATGGATTAAAGAGGGCTCAATTTTTCTTTTGCTGTGTAAACCTTCTTCAAACACGATTACAATCAAACAATTTATCGTCGACTTGTTTGCTGTGTAGCTTGCTCTTTATGAAGACCTCCGAGGCCTTCATATGAACACCGAGATTAAGTCACACAAAGCAGTGCCTTTTACATATTAACCTACTTCCGATGGCAGCTGGGTGCACAGGATTTAATGGTGGTGTATTGAGAGAGAGAGAGAGTGAGAGAGAAAAAAAAATAGGCTTGCCTTACATTTCTGTTTTGTTTTGTTTCCTTATGAAAGCCTGGTATTTTTTCCTCTCCTCAGTTATGCACTGATTTTGGTCGGACTATTACAATACTTGGACGTTTGTGGTTTTAATATGATGAAATGTGCCGCATTTTATACAAACCTCACTTCAACAACAACATCTGGTTCCCAAAAAGAACCAATCCCAGTCACACTGTTCTCAGTCCCAGTTCCATACACACTCTGATTATCTTTAATCCCAGCCTAAAAGTGTGACTTAAACTTGGTTCCAGGTTGTTTAACCCAGACTGTTATTGCAAACCTTATTAGATAAGGTAGAATATTTTGGTTAAACATGTCTTTTTTTTTTTTTTTTTTAAACACTTCTTCTGATCTGTTATCCTGTTTATCTTAAAACTGTGAGATTTTCTTTCTTTCTATCTTAACAGAATTTAGTTATTCTACTAGATAAAGGAGGGAGTGCATTCTGCTTCTTAAAGCCGTCTTCTTCTCTACATCGCCAGACACTCCTTTGCACAGCTGGCACATTTCTTCACCGAGATCAAAGACACACCACACTGCAGACATTTTCTAACTGCCAGAAATGTGTTTTACTGCACCAAAGTGTTAAAAAAAATATGACTGAGAAAGCTTTGTGTGCAGATCGAATGGCTAATAAGTTATTGTACTATTTATTTGCATAACCATTCTGGCTTATTATTTTGGTTGTGTTACTCCCAACTATCTCCAACTTAACATGTGCACGGATGCCTCCTGTTCTCTACACAAAATTAAGATAGAACTGTGGAAATTAATTTATTTAAAGCAGCACTAGAGAATGACTGTAATTAGACTGAATATTCTGGTAACTAACAATTGCAGATAACTGGTGAAAGAAACCGACATATGCTGCATCAGTCATCTAGCAGAATACTCAGCTTTAGCCACTTGTTTCCATTTATTAAAAGAAAAAAGGTTGAAACAGACAGATATACTGTGAAAAGTATATGTCCGCCTACATTTCCATGTACACCATCTTTGATACATCCCATTTCTACTTTAAGGGCTAAAATTATTGATGAACCCCTGTTTACCATTATCTTATAGTAATTACCTTCCATCATCTCAAATTAATTCTATGCATGTTCCCAACCACAGTTTATACACATGCAGCCGTGGAAATGAACAGAAAATCCAGGTTCAAGATTTGGTGATGTGCCCAATGCTTTTTTGCGATGCAGTGTATGCATCACCATGACATCACGGTCTCCAGTTTCTTTAACCTTTAGAAATGTCCCTGACTGAAAACAGCTGAGAGCTGGAGAAGGTCTAGGAAAGCATGCAACTCAACACAGTCCTGGAATATTTCCAGACCTTATTCCAGGTCTGTCCATCCATCTTTCTTTGCATTCAATTCAGTTTATTTATATAGCGCCAACTCACAACACGTCATCTCGAGGCACTTTACTGAGACAATTTAACCAGATCATACATCTTTCTATCAGACTAAGTCCTGAACCTAGCATCCACCTATTCTCAAAACTCTCTCACTGCAACCATCGAGGCGTGGCAAGACTAAACTTGTTTATTTTTAGAGGTCCACAATGCACACGCAACCAAAATTTCCTTTTGTCCTTTATTTATACTTCTTTCATTGAAGCCTTTCTATGACCGGTCAAGTCTAGTTCTCAAGGGCTCCTGTATAGTAACATTAGATACTTCCCTGCTTGGACGCAGCTGATAATTACGTCCTCATTTCTCTTTAATTTGTGGTGAGGATCTACATCAGCCTTTGAAAATCCTGAATCTTTTGATTAAGACTAGAAATAAAATATTATTGCAGTATGTGATAGTATCATGACGGTGACTACTACTTACTTAGCACAGCAATCAAAGCCCACAATAACAAATAATACTCTTTAAGATTATATAGACTTAAAATCAGCATCTTTAGGACACCAGTTATATGAAGACGTATGATTTCTATCAATAAACATTTCGCAATAACTCCATTTAATCATATTCTTCAAATTTGTCAATGCCCCAATGGAAAAGAATGAAAGAAAAGTAGTAAAAATAAGTCTGACAATTCGCCCAGTTTCTGGGGTTTATTATCATCATCAATTCTAATTTAGTGTTATAATTCTTGTCATAACCAAAATTGCCCAGCCCTAATTCAGACATGTCAAACCTGAGACCAACCTAAAATATGCCAGAAGGATATCAGCCCTAAATAACCGACTTTGGAATCCACTGCTTGAGACAAAGTTGTTTTTGTTATAAAAAAAAAAGATGTAATGTAATCCAGACAGCATGGTGCCTGTGTTGCTTAGGGAATTATTTTATGATGCTGAGGAAAAGAGAAAACTCTCTGATTATTTTGATAATAATATAAATAAAATAAATGCTTCAGAAAGACTGCCAAGAATGACCAGCATATACCTGTGAAAACTGCTGATTGTTATTTTTGCCATATTTATAAAACTCCTCCAATATAACATTTTAGAAATGTTGTTCTGGAAACGTTGACGTCAATATGAGTGATCATTGACGGCCATGTAATTGGAAATGTGATACCAGAGAGATGCATTGAAATTATATTGAGATTATATATTGTAATTATTGTCCACCCCTATGCAGTGAAATCTGTATGATCCTGAATGTTTTGGTGGTTCTCCTGACTATATGATTTAGACACAGCAGTTCCACCAGCTGGAGATTTGTTTCCATTCAGACATGGTCACTCCTGATTTTTAACTTGGCAGCAGTTTTTATTTAAAAAAAAAAAAACAGCTTCAAGGAGTCATGCAGCTGAAACTGAGATTATTTTGCCCAGACATAATATTAGGATGATATTTATGTGTCTCCTGTTAGATGTGAGTCATATTTCTTCTAGCTTCACAGTGGTGTTTATAAGCTCAAACCAACCATTTCTGCTCATCTTGTTTGCCATTATTTATTTTTCGTCTTTGAATTTAGTCAGTAATTGTTTGACGTGCTGCCTTACAAGTCCCTCTAATATCTAACAATCCTTTGACCATGTTCTTCACTCTGACAGAGTAAAGACAAGCTGTCGCCTTTCACCAAAACTCCAAAGTTGGATCGGAGTGAATTGCTGGGAAAGGAAGGGAAAGCCAAGTCTTCCATGAAGCGCAAGCTTTCCTTCACTGCAAGTCCGCCCCGGACGGAGGAGCGGGACTCAGACACTGGTAAGACCAAACTGCCATTCAGCTGGCTCTCTGCCACGTCCTCACACTGCCACCTGGTGGATTTGAATGCAGCCTGTTCAGTTGGATTGAAACATTTAAAGAAGGTCCAAATCTTGACTGAGAGACTTTTTTTTTTTTCATTTTAAAGCTGAAACGAGCTGCACTGATTCATATGCAATCTATGATGATGCGCATGATTATTTGTTCTCTAATGTTTCTGGTAAAAAAGACAAAAATAAAGCTGTGTGTTTTGGTTACTGAGTGAAATGAATATTTGATGGGATTTAACAAAAAAAATGATACACAAATTCATTTTTTAAATGACCAATCATCAAGAGCTGGCCTTATGTTAAAATAACTAATTATATTCCCATTGATATAAGTAACAACAAGATATGGTAGCTTCAAGGCACTGCTTTGCTTCCTCTGGTTCAGTGTGAACTTTGTCATAAACAGGAGGTTATAGAAATTAGTTTAATGGCAGATATCCAGCAGAACCAACTTCTTGAATGTGGAAAAAAAAACAGCGGCTTTGTTTTAGAGAGGAATTAGGGTTTTCGTGGTGGTCTAGTTAAAGTCTCGATTAGAATCGGACAGAAATTTTGAGGTAAGATCATAAACCAGCTCTCATGATCTGTATACCTCTAATGTGGCTCAATTAAAGCAGTTCTATAATGGAGACGTGGCCCAATCCCTCCACAGTGAGACCCATTGTTACTGCAAATGCTTGATGAGAGTTGATGCTGCCCTGGAGTGGCAAAACAGTAATTGGGTTTAGAGGACTATTCTTCTTCACATAGGTTGGCTTTAACAGCTATTAGTCCCTTAATATGTTGAGCCTGAAAAGAAAAGGAAAGGGAATAAAAGGCAGGAGTCATCTATAATGGAACAACTACATTTTCTCTGCTCGATAAATGTTACAATTAGTGTAAAATCTATAAAATGGTCCCAATCACCTTGCCTCCTAAATTTTTGTTATACCAAACATGTTAAAATGGATCCTTTGATCCACTGACTTCCTCTATGTGGGCTCTGTCTTATGTAGATGTATACTTATTTAAATTTGACTGAACAACAGTTGGAAAGTAATGGCTTTTTTATGTGAAAGAATCATAAGCTGGTTATTACATAAACAATCCTCCCAACATTTTTAAATTCATGTTTAGTCAGTTTCAAGAGAAGAAAAAATTTTAGCTCATTCAGTGTGTGTTTTTTTTTTTTTCTTTTTTTTTTTTCTTACATTGCAGGGACCATTTTGCAGAAAATATAGCAGATTGAGGGCACTGAGTGCTCCACTGGGGACAAATGCTTGTCCCCATGAGTACAAATGCTGTATTAGGTTTAGGTCTAAGGTGTGAATTGAATTTAGGTTGGGATTAGGTATAAACCCGTTAGGGTAAGGGTCATGGTAAGGTTGTAGAACTTACCTACAAATGAATGGAAGTCAGTGGAAATTCCCCGCTGGACTAGTAAACCAGACATGGGTGTGTGTCTGTGTGTGTTTGTACGTTCATGTTGATGTAGCATTAGCAACATCAGCACTTTGCCATGCTTTGTTTACCAGGGATTGTTTGGACTGCTGATTGTTCCCCTGATCTGTCACACCAAAGTTCCCAACTTTTGATGTGTTTCTGTAACCAATACTAGAAAAAGATCTAAGCCTATCAGTTCTGCTAATTTCTTTTTATTTTTAATTTAAATTAATTCACTTCTCTCTAATTCACTTTCGAGCATACAGTTATGCCCAAAAGTTCACAGACCCTTCCGTTGAAGACATGATCAATTCACACTAGTAATTCAAATAATACAAAACTGAAAAAAGTCATGATAAATACAAATTTATTAAATGATAATTTAGTAAAATAAAATATTGTTTTTGAGTTTTTGTTTAAAAAAGTCAGAGACAAATGAAAGTACCTTTCTCATGAGCAGTGACCCCACATACTGGTCAACAGGTGCAGAAGTCTGACTGAACATTTCCTGAAGGACAGTTGTTGATCTCAAGAACGGAGAAGTCTGCTCTGATGCTTATTCGATAAAGAGGCATGGGTGTCACTGCCCAATCAATCCTGGAATCACAATCCGTCCTGCATATGCGCCAACAGAATAACTTCTTGGTTGGCAATACCGCCCCCTTTTTCTTACTTTTGTCTTTCAGGCTAGGGGTTCCTTTTGAATATTTTTGTGTTTGCGTAAATATTGCATATTCTAAAAACAAAAAAAAAGCAATACATAAAAAAAAAAAAAAAAACACTTAAATAGCCTTTCAAAGAAAAAAAAATCTTCAATGAGAGCCTTTATGCTTTCGAACGTTACTGTGACTGCTCTGATCCACTGATCTCTATTTATTCACTAGATTGCTGATTGCCTGTTGGTAGTACGGGGTTGAAGTGAAGCCACTGGCTGCCATATTGGTACGCCCTTGTTAGACCGGTCGCAATGTAAACAATATGTGCGCTACAGCATTGAACGACAACGACGTTCTCATTTTCAGGGGGACTTAAGACTTTTAAAATAAACATAAATTCATCACTTTGACACACACTGACTGTGAAATTACCTGTGGAATGTCTTCCCATAGCTGGCAAACTGCTTGTTTTTGTAGCCAAAAGCTAAACATGTAGGCATTTATACTGCACATCTCTGTGGGAGTGGGGAATACTAGCATGGTGGATGCTGGCTTCACTTTATTTGGCCAATCACCAGTCCAGTGAATAAATAGAGATCAATGCTCTGATCATGTCCGATGACGTACAATGGAGAGAATGTAAAACGTATCCATTTCTTCCGAGTATTTAATATTTTCTATATGATGCAGTTTAAAATTTTTTAATGTTGTAAGTATATAGATAAGTATTTTCAGTATCGTTATTATATAGTTTTTGGCGACCCAGGTCTTATTGTTTTGTTAGCGCATGCACATGCATGCTTCCAGGATGGATCGGGTAGTGACAAGGACAATATCCGGGGACCTCGTCCTTTCTTAGTCTTCTTGTTCTTGTAAATTGAAACAGTACTAGGGCTGAGGCTGATGACATTTTTTGAGTACACAAGCACATGAGAACGCACAAGTACACATATTGAGAAACAGCCACAGTTTTCTGATGATGGAATAAGCAGAGCCTAAACCTGCTTTAAATGCCTCCAAAACTTTCAGTCTCACGGGTCCACTGTGACGTATAGAACTTTACGGTGATGTTTGTTTTCTAAGAAACGCTGCTGCAGCTTTGACAGAACAGCTGGATTCATACTGAAATTTACACGAAACACATGTGGTCTCTGTTTACTGATAAGATTATTTCTAGTGGAGATTTTTTTTAAATTGAATGGCTCTGGAAAATTTGACTGGGTAACAAACATTGTTAATGAAAAGGCTATCGCTTGAATATCTACTGTTTTGTTTCCTTTGAATTTTTCCAAACATCAAGAAAAGTAAAACGCAATTAAAAATAAAACCAGAGTGAATGCAAAAAAATCAGTTTACATATCATGTTATTATTTATCACAGTAAACAAGGCCAACGAAACCCCACCCACTGTTTAAAACCTTCCTGTTATATAGACATGCACCGGTCAGGATTTTGGGACACAATCACAAAAATCGGTATCTGCCGATCGCAGCATCAAATCCAGAAAGTCTTCAGCTGCTCTCTCATGTGCATTGACAATGTATTGTTAGGTATCAAAATTATAGATGAAAAAGATTGAATACTGTGTAGGTGTCTGCGGAGATGAGCTTTTTTGAATCAAAATGAAAGAGAGGAAATAATGTTGACAAAGGTTGACACAGGAGGAATGCCCTTAAGAGTTTTATGTATAGATTTTTAAAAAGCCAATTTAATTTAGCCCTAGAAGGACTGTTTCACCATTATACCTGCAGCATAGACATTGACCAGCAGTCGCCCTCTCTCCCCTGTGCTGTCCACCCACAGGCTCCTCTGACCCCCCTGCTGTCATTCTTCCACCTCCAGAACTTAGCCTCTAGTACAGGGATGGGCAATTACTGTTCCTGAGGGCCGCTATCCTCCAACTTTTAGATACGCCTTTGGTTTAACACACCTGAATCCAATAATTAGATGATTGAGAGGACTCTGGAGGAACTGACGACATACTGAGATAACTAAGCCATTTGATTCAGGTGTGTTGGACTAAAAACTGCAGGATACCGGCCTCCAGGAACTGGAATTGCTCGCCCCTGCTCTAGTGGTTATCCTAGACTAGCCGTAGCCTCCTGCTGCTCATTCTCCCTGACTGGCTCCTCCAAAGTACTATAGTCTGACTCCTGGTCAGCAGTAGCCTCTACCTCATCCTCAGTATTCTGTTTCCTCTGTGGTACTTTTTCAGTCGCCGTGTTCCTTGGATTCTCCGCATTTAGACTAGCTAGCCTCGGTGAAATGTAGCCTCTCCTCTCCCTGCCGCTGTTTTCTTGACCACCTTATCCAAACACCTGAAGTTCTCCTCCGATCTCCTCCTTACCTGCCTTATCTCCCCCGCTCCTGTCTGCCCATTGGGCTCCTCTGATCTACCGCTCTGGTTCCCTAGCTCCAGAGGGGGGCACGGTTGGCCGCCAGTTATAAAGCTCGCTCTCCCGCTGTTCTCAAATGGATTCCCCGCTGCTACTGTCTGAGCTTTGAATGCTGTCTCCTCTTCCCTCTGTTATCTGGGTGATTTGTGTCCTTGTGTTTGGCACTCTGACTTAAACAAATAAGGACCAAGCGCAGGACAAAGATGCAAGTTCGCTCAGAGAGAAACTCATGAACCGGAGCTTAAAAGTCGTAGTCTTCATAATGAACGGCCAGTCGGCATTCACGTGAAAATCATCTGAATTGACCGGTGCAAGTCTACTTTTAAATTGAGAGTTAAGTACAATTAAACTTTTTTGCTTACGTGCCTTTTTAAAAATTGACTTTTAGGACCAAGAGATTCCTTAATCAGAGACTCTTCATTGGCACGCTTTGGCCTAAAAGTTCTCAAACTACTATAAATATAAATGTATTCTATAACAGTGGTATATTTGAATGCACATTATAGTGTATGAATAGAGCATTGGCCAGTGACTGACTTTCCAGATTTTATATAGTTTTATACATTTTAATTTGTAAAGCAAATTTGTAAAAAAGCTACACTGGTGGACATTCAAAATGATTGCCAAATTTTGTTCAGGAATTCTTTGGAGTACTTCTGAGGCTTTATTTTTGTTTATATTGCTAATGAAATGATTTAGTATTCACTATAAGAAACCTATTGTGATATAAGTTTTGGTCCACATGGTTCAGCCCTCTGTCAAACAGCAACACATTATGTCGGAAGAACCTTAGTGTTTGCTTGGTTCCTACTGAAGGATGAAGAATTTTAAGGCTACCTTAAACAATACAGACTTCTGAGATATTTTCCCACCACAAGTATTTCAGCTCTTCTTTATAGCCGTCCTAATTTTACCATCTTAGTCGTGTAAACTCATTTCATTTCCCATCTTCCAGTTGGAAGCATAAATGTCAGTTTATATCAGATCTGAACTTAAAAGAAAACACATTGTGTATAGTTTATCTGTCTTTACAGTCAGTAAGTACAGAGTGTTTACATGCATCTTGGGATCTTCCAGTGAGCCTTCATCTCCCCTGTAGAGCAGCGCCCTGCGTTGTGATTTTCATTGTGTGGTCCTCAGAATGAAACCTTTCATTTAAATGTAATTTATGTGTTGCAGAGGCTTTAAAGGCAAACTAGCTCCGAGGGTGGCTTTTCCTCTCCAGCAGTTTTTTTCTCCCCCAAGCAGCTGCTGGAGGAAGCGGAGTAAATGACCGCCTGATTGGATCTCCTCCTCTAGCCTCCTGTGTTGCAATGACTCATAATCCGCAGCGTGCCGCTGTGCCTGTCTGTGTTTGACTACATGTGGAACAAGGAGGGTGTGAGAGCATGAGCGTTAATGCAGTGCTTTCCCACCCTTCTACCCCTTGCTCTCTCCCCTCCCTCCCTCCCTCCCCTTCCTCTCTGCTTTGCACTGTAGATGACTCAGACCCAGGCCAGTCGAGTGAGACCTGGGGAGAGAGATTAGTGCCCCCCTGCAGGATATACGCAGGTAAATGCTGCAGCCCAAACCTCAGCCCCCCGCCCCTCCCTGCTGTCCTCTTCCAGTCACGTCAGAAGCTCTGCTGCTCGGCTGTAAACACGCGCGCACACATGCACGTGTGTGTTTTCGCCTTGCATCTGCCCCAATTACAGCTCAGCATGTCTATGTCTAGCAACAGTCGTCCGATTGGAGATGGGGGGGCCCTAAGGAGCACCGTCGACGCTTGACTGGCTTAAGGGAATGCCTGTTTTTTTGTTTTGTTTTCGTTTTTTATTCTTTTTTTTTTTAAACCTCATGCTTGTCATCTGTTTCTCAGTGTGTCTAACAGATACAAGGAGGAGGAAAACATGTCACTTTTGCACTAAAGTTTCTGTCGAGTTAGAAAGCTCACCGTTAGGACATGTTTTAAATATATTTCTTGACTCTGTTGCAGATAAGGATGGACCAGATAAGAAGAAGGTGAAGAAGGAACCTGGGAGCAGAAAGTCCCAGTCCTCCAACCTTTTATTCGGGTATCCGCTGTCTGAGCGCAAACAGATGGCTCTTCTCATGCAGATGACCGCCAACAGTCCAGGTCTGTAGATCTTTTCACCTTTACTTCATCCTGACCAGTGTTTACTGTGACATGATTCATTCTTGTGAACATCTTTTAAGAATGAATCATTTATTCAACAAACATTTCCTGAAACATGTTTGCAAGTTCCCAGAAAAAGTGCATGACGATCCTCTTGATGTCTTAGTCACAGGGTCCCGGGAAAAGTCTGGCATTAGATTTTTGTTATTTTCCAAGGCTGGATGAGTAGGAATAAAAAAATATTCCCAGATATTATTTGGAAATACTCCATCCATTTGTCTTTCCATTTCTGTGCTTACCCAGTTTTTCTGTTGGTCAGTTTTTCTGCATTCATCATCATTCCATTCATCAACTGTCACACACACAGTCTACTATCTCTTGTTGTGGCTGTGGTTAGCTCACATGACCAACATACGGATGCCTTTGTCCTCAACATGGCTGACCCGGGTTCAAATCTCACCTGTGTTCCTTTACCGCATGTTTCTCCCCCTCTCTTGTACCCCTTTTCCTCTCAGTCCACTTTACAAAAATCGAGCCTCTAAACCTAAAAATTAATTAAAGAATTGCAACTTTGAAAGAGTCCCTACTGTTCACAGACCTTTCTCCAGACTAGCTTATGCAACATATTTTTGATTCTCTGATTTATGATTTATTTTAGAGTGGGGATTTTGCCTTTGTCTTTATCAATAACTCCACCACTTCTCAGTCTGCTGGTCCAAAGTGGTCCGCTGCTGATTCCATGGGGAGACAGTTTCATTTTAATGTTAAATCTGGAAGGTAGAATTTAGCCCTTCTAGGAGGTGTTGTAATCCTGCAGAACAACGGATGAAGAAAAAGGGGGAGAAATATGGCCAACAAACCCGACTCCATTACACCAGTTTTTGGAGGAATGGGCCAAATCGTCTGCGAACTATTGCAAGGATGAAGGAGATAAATAATGTTCCACTTCAACTTTAGATTTATTGTCCCCCCTGGGGGTAATTTGGTGTGCTGCAGGGTAAAAACATAAAAGTACAGGAATACAATTACACAGTTTCACAAACACTACATAAACAAGCAACATTAAACCATGAAGGAGGGGCCATTGTTGCACGCCTTAACTGTTCACTTTTTAAAGGTCGAATGATGGCTTAGGTTAAGAATGAATTTTCCTCTTGCTGGATTTAGGAAAGGACCCTTGTTTTAAAGGACAATTCTGAGTAATTAAGAAATGCATAGAAACGTCCAAGTTATTTCAAAGTCAGAAGTTTAGTCAAAAATGTATTTTCAAATAATTGTATGGTTATTCTGGTATTACCCAAAATGGACCAAGAACAGGTTAGCCGCATTTGTCGCCATCTTTGTGTACATCACATGTGAACGTTCGGTTTCAGTAGCTGAGCTCATTCTTTGGTTTCTTGTTTAGTTTTTAAAGGAAGCTGCCCCCATTTACAGTTTCCAACTATTTGGGAACATCATTGTTGTTTCTGTTTCCAAGAGTAGCTTTACACTTAACAGGCTAAATCAAGGATAAGTTTCTAAAGTTGTTTTTATTATTTTATTTTTGTTAACAGGACTTTAGCGTTATTATTAATTCTATATCAAGGCCTATGATTTATCACCACTTTTAAAATCAGCTAAAGCCTTCATTCTTTGTCCAGACTCCACGCCAAGCCACCCCTCGCAGACGACGCCCATACAGAAGAAGGTCCCCAGCAGCGCCTCGTCTCGACAGAAGGACAAAGTCAACAAGAGGAACGAGCGCGGGGAGACCCCCCTTCATATGGCAGCCATCCGTGGAGACGCCAAGCAAGTTAAAGAGCTCATTAGCCTGGGAGCCGATGTCAATGTCAAAGACTTTGCAGGTACGCTGCCGCAGGAGGTAGTCATTTAACACCATCATTACGTCTGTACGACTGCTAATGACGAGAAGCTGTGCTGCAGTCGCCGATAAAAATGTGTTGCCTCTCAGAGAGATAACAGTCAGTTCGTACAGCGGCGACTTCTGTGTCGTTTTGCATTAGTGGAGAGAAAATGGCGGGGATAAACTCCAAATAAATGGCAGCTGTTCTAAGTGGTCCGATGTTCCCCCACAGGTTGGACTCCTCTTCACGAAGCCTGTAATCTGGGTTACTATGACGTAGCAAAGGTTTTGATAGCAGCAGGGGCAGAGGTGAACACGCAGGGTCTGGATGACGACACGCCGCTTCATGACGCTTCCAGCAGTGGCCATAAAGACGTAAGACCTAATAAGAAGTTTGCTAACTGTCTTTTTTCAATTAATGAGTCTCTGCATTATACTGATTTCTTACAACATCCTCTTGTATTTCTCAGATTGTGAAACTCCTACTTCGTCACGGCGGTAACGCCTTCCAAGCCAACAAACGCGGGGAGCGGCCGGTGGACGTGGCTGACTCCCAGGAGCTGGAGCAGCTGCTGAAAGGAGAGGTTCCTCTGTCAGAACAAGACGAGAGCTCCTCAGGTGGGAAGCACCATGCCACACACAAAAAAAACAGCAGATAGATGAATTGAACTGCAAAAAATTAATCAGTTAAAGTTTTCCCTCAATTTACACTGGTATGTTGGACACTTTGCCAACAGAATATGATTTGCATTTAAAAAAAGCAAATAAACAGCTCCATTATCCTATTTAAAATGCTTTATCTCAATGTTGTTTAAGGCAAAAATACAAGTTTTATTGGAAGATTATCTAAAATACCGGCTCAAATTATTGTAACTTACTTTTGAGAAATATTTACTGATTTGGATGCTTGGGCTGTTCGGATTTTCTAGAGATTAGAGTGCCATCTTGGTTATTTGTATATCATATAGAGTTTTTGTTTTTTTCTTTTCAACAATTCAGTTTGAAAAGTGAAACATCTCTAAATTCCCTTGCAAACAGTAATATATTACAAACTTTTTTCTGTAAAGTATGATGATTTCTGGTAAATTGAAAACAACATGTAGTTTCACTGAAAATAATTTGAATCTAGAGAAGTGTCTTTACTGTTGTCCATTAGGACATGATCCATAGATAGAGTTGGACACAAAAGGCATTTCTTAACCAGAGAGAAAAATCAGAAGCATCCTGCTGGGGCTGTAATGTCCCTATAGATCTAAAATCTTTCAGGTTAAAGTCAGCCATGTGTTTTATTTGAAAAGCAAGGTACTAGAGTCTTTAGCAAACGGCAGAGAGGCACAGAATCAAAGATCCCTGAGGTTCAGTGTTGTTGTTTTTTTAATTGGTTAGCCATGTCCACTGTTTGTGTTGGTCCACTGTCATTACTCAGAATCTGGCTGCAGCTCCTGTGAATCTTCACATCACGATCTTCTTTCATCCTCAAGGCTGTCATAAGCTGCCTTTTAGTGCTAAACTTTTTCCTTGAACTAAACTCTCCATCAGTACATTGGGCTAGCTTCTTTACGAGAACTATTTGTGGCTCTCTAACCTGTAGAGGGCGTCCATGACAAGAGGACCATTGAGTCAGCACTCCTTCCTCGATTGTCCAGTCCGTAGCCGAGTTTAATATCCAGTTTTTATAGCTGAATTAGTAAGACTTGTATGTTTCTGTAGGTCTTTATATTACCTACTTGTATTTATCACCTGTCTCTCCCTGCAGAATCTGAAGACCCTCCATCTGTCAATCCGTCCAGCATAGACGAAAACATGGAGGACTCGGACACCGAAAAGGAATCTGATGGCAAACCGGTCTCAAAGGCGATGTCGTCCGTGCTAGGCATGGACGAGTATGAATTCAAAGATGAGGAAGAAGAGGAGGACCTGAGCAAAGCCCTGAATGACAGGCACATCCCCAGGAGGGAGCTGAGGCAGCGGGAGAAGGAGGACAAAGAAAGAAATCATGTAGCGGGAAAGCAAAGCAGCAAGAGCGACTCTTCTACCAAGTCCAAAAAAACCAAGAGCTCTCGTGTCCAGTGCAGCTCCGACACTTCCAGCGACGAAATGGAGAGCCTGTTAGAGAAAAGAAACTCCCCCACCTGCTCCCAGAGCTCAGAGAACCACAAAATGGACACAAGGTTGAAAAAGGACAATGTCGAGCTAAAGGACAAGGGTAAAGTGAAGAAGAAGAGCAAGAGCCAGAACAAAAACAAGGAAAACGAGGAAGACGGGAAGGAGAACAGCAAAACTTTAGTCCTCTCACTTGCTACTGTGTCCGAGAGCAACGAAAAGGGGCGGGAGGAGGACTCCTTTAAGATGTCTTTCAGTCCTAAAGACGACTCCTCTGTCCACCTCTTCCATCTGTCCTCCATTAAATCCCCTAAGCTGAATCACAGCCTGGCAGACAAGCAGTGTCCACTCAAACAGGAAAACCCCAAGGTGTCCATCAGCGACAGCTCTTACAACCACTACCCTGATGCAGATTACTGCACCGAAAGCTCCAGCACCAAGGGCTGCAAGCACAGGGAAAAGAGCAAGCATCAACAGAAGGACGCCAGCATGGACGGAGACGATGGCCACTCGAGCCCCTGCAAGGACGGCGTGATAGGAAACAGCATTGACAGCGGCGAAGGGGTCTTATGGAAGACTGATTTGGATGGAAAAGTGGTGAAGAAGCATAAACTCAAACACAAGGAGAAAGATAAACACAGGAGAGAGTATAAAGCTGAGCGCAGCCGGCACAGGCAGAAGGAGCCCAGGAAAGACGGCCACAGGAATCTGGAGTTCGACCGCGAGTTCTGGAAGGAAAACTTTTTTAAAAGCGACGAGGCAGACGAACCTCTGATGGTGAAAAAGGAAGGTGAGGACCTTGGCTCAGTCCAGAAGGGGCCTGATTCTTCTCCTGTCAAAGATGAGAGAAACTCAAAGGAGAAGCACTCTGCTGTGAAGGAAAAGAAGCCGAGAGAGGAACGGGAAAAAGACAAGACGGTGAAGAAGGAGCGAAGAGAGGCTGTGGGGAAAGAGGAGAAGGCAAAGGACTCCAAGCCTAGCGAGCACGACGAGAAGGTAGACTGTCATGGACTGGGCCAGAGTTCAGAGGAGTCGCCGCAGAGCAGCGGCATGAAAGAGGAGACAGAGGAGAAACCCATCACAGCTGATCAGGAACAGCTGGATCCGTCCGAAAAGGCCTCACGTGACAAATCGGATAGGAGGCTTCCAGGAAAAGAAAAGGATCCAGATAAAACGGAGAAAAGACATCTGGAAAAGGAGAAAAAAATCAAACTGGAGCACACCGACAGGGCTGAGCCACAGAATTCAGTCGACCGCTGGAAAGAAAAAGACAGAACAGGAACCGTCTCTAACCTCACACCTGGAGACAAAAGCCACAGAGAGAGTGAGAAACTGAAATCTATATCTGCGGCAAAGAAGCACGAAGATGGCAGGAAAACTAAAGAGAAGCTTGAGAAACGCTCTGAGAAAGAGCGGCAGGACAGGGAGTACAACACGGCAGATCACAAAGAAAAAGATCGAGCAAACAGTGAAAGGAGGGGGAAACTTCCTGAGAAATCCACAGATCACAGCAAGTCTGAACGCTTGAAAGAAAAGGACTGTGACAGGAAAAAGAAAGATAAGATAAAAGATGGCAGCATTTCATCAGGCTCCAACCTAAAGTTACCGGTAGAAGATAAGAGGAGCTGTCTGTCTGAGAGCGGCAAGGTCTTTTCTACAAAATCCAAGGAAGAAGCCGCAAAGACGCCGGAGAAGGATCGAGAGCGGCGGGAGCGGGACTACGACAGACACAAAGATAAAGACAGGCACAAAGACCGCTCCCAGCAGGTCCGCATCAACAAAACGAAGCCCAGCGAGGGAGACCCCGACAAGAGCAAACCAAAAACCCCCACAGCCATCCGGGACGCTAAGCCGAAGGAGAAACGCCTGGTGAACGACGACCTGATGCAGACAAGCTTTGAGCGAATGCTCAGCATGAAAGACCAGGAGATTGAGCTGTGGCATCGGAAACATCTGGAAAAAATCAAGCAGAAAGAACGGGAGAGGCTGAAACAACGGCCTCTGTGCGAGGCGGGAAAGTCCAAACCCAAAGACAAAACCAAACCAGAACTCTGTGTGAACAAAGAGCTGACACGCTCTAAAAGCTCGGAATCATCCGACGCCCACGGCAGAGAGAAACACCTGAAAGACGGAAACGTCAACAGGACGCTGTCTCTGGATGGGAAGAGCGTCCCCGCCATCAGCGCGAAGGTCATCTCTGTGGTTGAAAACTGCCTGAGCAGATCGCCTCGGCCAGAGAGCGACCGCGCTGGCCTCATGTCCCGCTCTGTGTCTTTAGTCTCTGTAGCGAGCTCCGAGGAGTCCTATCAGGCCACAACGTTAACTTCCAGACATGCGGAGTACGACTCGGACTTGAACCTGGAGACCTTCGACTCCCAGCAAGCGTTTCTCCAGTCTTCCCTTGTCATCCAAGCCGCCAGGTCCCCGTCCGCCCTTGACAGAGACTGTAACAGTCTTCCAGACATTCCCCAGAGTAACCAGACGCTGTTGCTGGGGAAGCATGAACCACAGTACCTCCAGAGTGTTCTGGAGGAGGATCCCAGCTCATGCGTTGAGACTGATAGCATGGAGCATCCGTCCAAGTGTGGCCTTACCAGCACCACGGCAGAGGAACCCAAAACTATGGAGAGCTCAGAACCCGAGGAGAACCTCGTCATTCAACAAAACCTAAACCCATCAGCTGATCCAGTGACCGAAAACGAGGGCTGCAGTGCAACAGGACTCCCTATTGGAGATCCTCCAAATAAAAACCAGATGCTTCCACAACTCGATGCCTCTCTGACAGAGCAGAAATCTCCTCCCTCCCCAGATCCTGCTCTAGTGAAAGACGTCTCCGGTCCAGCGGAAACCTTGCAGGAGGAATGTTGGAGCAAAGAATCGGATCAGCCATCGGGATTTGACGAACAGTCTGCCCTTATGGACACAGAGTCCCCCCCTCAATCAGAGACACTACCAACTTCCAGCACAGAGAATCGGTCGGACGGCCTGCAGGTGTCGGACCATCATGATGTACCTATGGAGAACCCTGCACATGAGAACACGGACACGGGTTCAGAAAACCCAATACCTGAGGGGGCGAATAGTCCACCTACAACCGCTAGTTTGCACATTCCTACGTCTGCTTCAAGAGAGTTCCCAGCAGCTGAAGAAGACAAACCAGTAGATGATCCAGACAACTCCCAGCCTTCAACTGAGGACCTAGAACCATGTCCTGATGGTCCCATGGAGGATGCTTTGTCCTCTGCAACCCCCGAACACAAGTCAGAGGAGACGACTGACGCTCTGGAGAGCTCAGAGAGCTGCACTGCTGCTGCAGCAGAGAGCTCTTCCCTTGAAGGCAGCAAAGAGGAAACATCTGGCGCTAAAGCTGAGATCCCCTCGAAGCCGATGGAGGTCACACCAGCAGACGACAAAACAGAGTCATCAGCTGCAGAAGAGACGCAGACTGACAGTAGCAATACCTCCGGGAGCTCCTCACCGCAGTCTGGAGCCAGAGACTCAGATTCCTCAGGAGCTAAGCTCAAAGTTCGCCCCACGTACGAGGATGTGGACGTCCACGTCCCTCATCCCCGCAAGAGGAAGATGCCCAAGCCGTCCAACTCCCCGCTGTGCTCCTCTGCCCAGCAGGAGAAGGAGAAGTGCCAACAGTCCCTCGCAGCCATTGTGGATTCTGTGAAGCTGGAGGAGATCGAGCCCTACCAGACAGAGCGGGCCAACCCGTACTACGAGTTTCTGCACATCCGCAAGAAGATCGAAGAGAAGCGCAAAGTGCTGTGCAACGTCACGCCCCAGCCACCGCAGTATTACGATGAGTACGTCACCTTTAATGGATCCTACCTCCTGGATGGGAACCCACTCAGCAAACTCTGCATACCAACAGTGAGTCCAGATTATATTCTCAGATTTTATCACATCAGACTATTGTAATCCTCTTAATACATGACAACCTTTTACCTCATTGGTGCCTAAATTAAATTATGGCTAAATTCATATGAAAGCGCACATGTGCAATGAGAAAAGATGTCCGTCTGTAGATGTTCAATGATGTAATTTACTTTATAGGTATTTGTCCAAATTGTTGATTGAGGGGCTGAATACCAATGCCATCATCACATGTGGAATATTTCCCCCACAGTTATACTCCCACAGCAGTGTGTCACAGTTAGCTTTTCGCAGGTATGATGTAGACATTTTTGATTTATGCCCAATATTGAAGCGTGGTCTGCGCTGTTATTCCACGCCACAACGCAAAAGGGACAATCACGAGCTAGCTGTGGGTCTAGATACGGCCGAGGCGGTGAAGAAGTAGGAGCAAGTTTGTGTGACAACAGAGGGACATGAGGGCGAAAAAGAGCAGGGATTCAGGTGGTAAAAGGGTCCCAGCGTTCTCGCGCACTTCGCTCTTCTAGCTGGTCAATTTTCACAAGCTGTTTTCTACAATGGCAGGCATACAAACAAGACAAGCCGGTAAGGTACCAAACAGGAAATACACATAGTGTAGAGCAGATGTAGATTTGACCAATCAGAGGCCTCCTTCCTGTGGTACTGTCTGCGGACACCTACAATTTGGGAGAGGTGCAGCACAGTGTCTGCAGACGGGGCGGCGACGTTTTTTGGTTCGTTTTTTTTAAAAGGAACACACCTGTTTGTGACTCCAATACTAGGGGTATGAATACTTTAGCAAGGCACAGCATTCATTTTGAAACAGAATCTGTCACGGGTAAAGCTACAAAGATCTTTGCTGTAGAATAATACTGATGTCTTCCACAGATAACTCCGCCTCCATCTCTTCCTGAGCCGCTGAAGGAGATGTTCAAGCAGCAGGAGGTTGTCCGAATGAAGCTACGGCTGCAGCACAGTATTGAAAGAGTATGTGGATCCAAATCTGATTTTATTTCAGTTCTGCTTCTTTATTCGCTGCAGTTTTGCTTTCCTCCCTCATACCGACCTGACCTTTTATTTGCTCTGTTTGTTTTTCTCAGGAAAAGCTGATAGTTTCAAATGAGCAGGAGGTCCTCCGAGTCCATTACCGGGCTGCAAGAACACTAGCCAATCAGACGTTGCCTTTTAGCGCCTGTACTGTCCTATTGGACGCAGAAGTGTACAACATGCCTCAGGACATCCAGGTTGGCAGCATGAACTGTGTATGAGAAAAAACTTTTTTTTTTTTTTTTTTTTTTATTTAATTTGTTTTTATTTGGGCTTTTTCTGCAGAATGATGATGGAAAAACATCAGTGAGGGACAGATTCAACGCCCGGCAGTTCATGTCCTGGTTACAGGATGTTGACGACAAATTTGATAAACTGAAGGTAAGAGAACATTTTTAGTTGTGTTTTTTTAGTAGTAAAGTTGATTGCTGCTCACTCGGCTTCCTTTTGAGAAACCGACCATCATCTTTACAGCAGCACTGTGCGGACTGCTTTTCTAAAACCCTCCAATGAGGTTCAGATCCGTTGCTAAATGACCTCTTGGGTCTTCTGTCTTTATTGATGCCCAAACAACTGAAGTGAAAGGCAGATATAGGCATGCAGGTACACTGAAAAATAAATGGAAACAATGATTAAGATCAGACTGTGTAAAGCAAGGGTTAATTTACAATAAAAGAAAAACTCCAAACTGTGGCTCCGGAGCCAAAAGTCTCTCTTTGGACCCTCTACCATGGCTCTCATTAGTGAGTAAAATGATAAAGAACTAAATGTTTTTGAATATAGTTTATTTAAAAATGTAATTCTAACAAGGGTTAGCAGGTTTTTAACAGAACAATTGAACGTAATTTTCACTACAGAATGACATTAAAGGATCAGGAATATGTTTTTAGATTATATCTTTTGTCATTAGCTTGGAAACGGTGTTTATTTTTTTTATATAAAATAATATCCTATAGAACAAAATCTACAATCAATGTTTCCTCTTTCACGTTGCCCTTATTTTACAAACTAAAAATGCAAATAAACTGTTATTTAAATTGGCAACAGATATTATATTGCAAATAAAACAATAAATTATGTTTTTTTTAAAGGCCATGTAGTATTTGCGGCTCTTAATGTTTTTTATTTAGCTCGGGGTAAAATTGCTCTTTGGGTTAGACCTCGGATGTAGAGCAGATTCATATTCGAAGAAATATATTTGTGTATTTTTTCATAAACAGATTCCCAAGAACTAGAAAAAAAACTGTCCAAAAATATAAGGTTGAGTTTGTTGGGAGCAGATCTGGGGAAGTTTTAGCTGTAGCTTGGAGGAAGGATCTACGATGACACTCATTTGTGCATCTAAGGTGCAGCAGTCAGTCACAGAAGAAGCTCTTTAAAAAAAATAATAATTTTCTAATGTGTTTTGAATAATTTGGTGAGTGTTGTAAAATTACATTTATGATACTATTTTAGCATAACTGCAATCTCAATTATGATGCCTAAAGCAGCAATTTTTAGCAATGATTTAGTCTCACTGGAAGTAAAGGTGGTTGGTGTTTAACAAGGAGCAGATGTCTCGTCATTTTCACTTTGGTTCCTTGAATCCATAAAAAGCTTTTCAGCTCTAGTGTTCCGTTAATAGGGCCTTATAGTTAATTAAGCTGGCTTTGGACATTGTGTCCAGCTCCTGTTTCCTGATGCTAAATAGATCACAGATCAGTAGATCTGATTCTGGATTAGATTATCACATTCATTTTCTCCACAGACTTGTCTCCTGATGAGGCAGCAGCACGAGGCGGCGGCTCTGAACGCCGTGCAGCGTCTCGAGTGGCAGCTCAAGCTGCAGGAGCTTGACCCGGCCACCTACAAGTCCACCAGCATCTTTGAGATCCCCGAGTTCTACATCCCACTAGTAGAGGTCAACGACGACTTCGACCTGACCCCGATATGAGCCATGGAACGGCCCGGGTCTGTGGCTGTGTCTTCGTAGGGACAAAGAAGGAAATGTGAAGCACTTAGAATGTGGCGATCACACAGAGGAGCACTTAGAGCATAGGTGGCTTTTACTCCAGAGCTCTTTCTAAAGAGTCAAATGAGGACAAAAAAAAAAAAGAAAAAACAGGGTCCCGGCTGCAGAAGAAGAAACTGGGCCAGGTGGAGCAGAGCAGTCACACCTGAAAGATTTCAAATGTTTTCAAAGTGTTCATACGTTGTGTACAGACTGTGCTCTTAATTTTTTAACTTATTTTATACATAAAAAATGTGCATTTGTACATAGTCATGTAATTATTGTTTTAAACCTGTAAAAACAAAAAGTAATAGATATTTTGATTGTAAACTGTTCTGTCTGATGTTTTAATGGACCAAAGTCGTCTTTTTTTATATCGAGTCTCCTCTTGTCCGTGATGTTCTCGTTGTTGTCGTTGGCTTCTGTTCCTTTTCCTTTCTTTCCAGTCGTTTCTTCCTTCATCTCTTCCACATCTGGAGCTTTACACCACAGCTGGTGTTCTTCGACTTTGGCAGTTTTGATGCTGTGCATGCGTTGCGATGTTCTTTCTCTTACAAAGCTGTACCGTGGACTCTTAAATTTGTGAGGTTTACAGAAGTGTTCCAGCTTTTTGGAGATTTTCTTTCCTCCCAAACGTTGTCTCTTTTAGCGGCCTCACTCCTCATGTGTTGTCCATAGTGTGTGTTGCGCACATTAAAGTCTGTTGTGGCTTCCAAGAAAACAAAACAAAAAAAAAAAGAAAAAAACTTTTACAGTTTCGACGTGAGATCACAACAAATCCTATTTTTTCAACATAATGCCTTTTGAACGATAGTTCTAAAAAAATGTCTATTTTAATATTTACTTGTTACATGACTTGTACATATTTGTAATATATAATTGAATAAATTTTATTTGTTGTGAAATGACATGTTGTCTTTGGCCTTATTTTTGGTTGTTTTTTGCAAATCGGCAGTCAGTGACTGTGTGTAGTATCCTGCTCAGCCAGGAGGGGTCAGTGTAGGCAACAATGTTTATAAGTCAGATGGATAACTTGTGGTGGGTTAATCCTTATAAAGATGCTATAAAAGTAGATTCAAAATCATGCATTGTATACATAAGAATAATATTTACATTCATGAATCATCTAAATCATTCTTAAATAGTTTAAAAATAAAATGTTTTTCAATTTTTAACAGTAACCTACTTTTAAACAAAATATGGAAATTTATGAAATTTAAAGATCATGTGTAACAGATCTGCTTTAATGAGCTGAAACTAAGGAATGAGAAGTGGGATGAGGGGCATCAACACACACCTATACAACTGGTTTATTGTTAAATGTAAGTAGTTTTTAGCAGGAATCCTTACATTTATTTTTGCTAGAATGATAGCAAAATTCATTGTCTCAAAATTCCTAGATTATGACTGCTGTAAATAGCATGAAAGATGGGTCCTGTGACTCAAAAATAAATGTTTTGCTGTATAATGTAAAAAAAAAAAAAAAATCAGACGATTCTGGATTTTGCTTGTGAATAACATTTAATTGTTTTAACAATAATATTTACTTTTCAAACAATTTTACTGCCCTCGTAAAACACAACATAATCCTTTTACAGTTGTTTTTTGTATCTCTGCTTCTGTCTCCTGTAACCCCAGATGGCTGCTCACACTGAGCCTGGTTCTGCTGAAGGTACCTTCCTGTTAAAAGGGAGTTTATCCTCTCCACTGTCGCTACATGCATGCTTAGTGTGAGGGATTCCCTTCGAGTCTGAGTCAATGCAATCAACTGGTTTTCCGTAGATAGAAAACTTTGAATCAATCTGACTGGATGATCTGGTTGAACTGTAAAAGGCCTTGAGATGAAGTGTTGTGAACTGGCACTATAGAAATAAACTGAATTGAAACAGCTAAATATTATTCAAAAAATATTCAAATGTATAACCAAATATTTAATTTGGATAGTAAATATAGAATTTCATTTCAAAAATTAGCTTCAGCAAATTTTTTTTAACTAACTAAATATTATAAATGTAGGCTATAAAGATCTACCTAAATAGCCAACTTCCTTCAGCTAAATAGTTATGTAGCTATTTAAAGCTTTAATCATTCATTTATTTGCCAAATATTTAATTTAGGCATTTTTTAACAAATCAGGGCCACTGAAAAAACAAAACAAAACCAAAAAAAAGTTACCTGCTTTTTAAATATTATTTCAATTTAATATGGGAAAAAATTTAGAATTCTGACTTTAATCTCAGAATTCTAATTTTTTTCACAGAAGTCTCAAAATTCTGACTTCTTTTTCTCTGAATTCTGACTTTTTTCTCAAAATTCTGACTTTAATCTTAGAATTCTGATTTTTTTTCACAGAAGTCTCAAAATTCTGACTTCTTTTTCTCTGAATTCTGACTTTTTTCTCAAAATTCTGACTTTAATCTTAGAATTCTGATTTTTTTTCACA